GTGTGCCACAAATTTCTAGCGATCTTGTAAAAGTGACTATGGGACCCATCGAAAAAATTAATGAGATGTTATGATTTTATCTCATATTATATCGGATAGAGAGAAATAAAAGCAAGATATTTTTTACAGTAAGGTTCAACCTGAACGAGGCCCGAGGGCCACTTATGGTAGAAAATTATTTTAAGAGGCAAAATTCGTTGCAGTCTAACGCATTCGCTTCGTAGCTAGCAAAATTCGCTGCAGTCTAACGCATTCGATTCGGAGTTAGTATAATTCATTGCAATCTAAAGCATTTACCTAATATTTTATTATTTTTAAATTCTTATAACCTTTACTTAGATAGGACGCTCATATTACATTGGAAGGAGAGAAGGTTTTTTACAGTAAGGTTCCCCCTGAGCAAGTCCTGAGGGTCACTCAAGGCAGAGAGTTAAGAGGCAGATTGCACAGATAGGCGGGGAAGGTAACAGTTAAACCATGGCTTGAACAGATTAAGATTGCAGTGACCAGGGAAACGTCCTATTGAGAGTCGGTTCCACAGAGCAGAGCTTCACGGGAAAAAGCTGTTCGATTAGAACTAATTTCTTACTGATGGAATGCGGAGGGATTATGGATGGTTTGCACCAATGTAAGTGGCATGGCGGTTTCTTGTCGTAAAGGTTAAAACGGCGGAACCAAAAAATGTAGTTCGTCCGAGCACTTTCCATGAAAGTAGAGATAGAGCAGCGAGAGGATTGTCACACCCCATCTATGGGAGAGAGGGGTTGGAGGGTGGAAAATAATTTGTCACCCACAAGGACTCGGGGAGGCTTTTGAACTATCGCGGCTGGAGAGTGTAGTTTGGGCAGCGGCCACCCAAAGATATAGAGAGTACTAGCCCAAATCCAATGAAATCTAATCTGTCTTGAATAATAAATAGCCTAAACTTCGGATTAATGTCATCTAATAACGACTGTTCACTTAGAAACGATGTTTTCCTCTGTCGATTAATTTTTAAAAGAAAGGAATCGCTGAATTTTCTAAAAACAACGGCTTCTCGGCTTCAACCACTTTCCCAGCACTGTAACGTCTCAAGGACACATGGCGCAGTGGATAAAGACGTTAGATCAAGTGATAGGACCAAAAGAGTGTGAGTTCAATGCCTGGTTAAGGCGGTGGAGAACTTGGAGAGAGGAATTAACAGGAGATAACTGATAACTGACGTCCATTAGACATGGCACGTGGAACTAGAACAGCCTACACCAGTGAGCGAAATAAAGAGTTCAGTTAGACATTCCAACCAACTGGAAAAGGCCGGAGCTACAACGGCCGAAACGTTGTGATAAATATGGCAACAAAGATGAGGATGATAGCCCGAACAATGCAAATAGTGTACGATCTTCAAATATTTAAATGCAATGTCAATCGTCTCTTTATGTCTCCTCGAATGTCCTTTATTATCCTCAATAATATTTTCTCAGATTCTTCCACTCCCAGTGACTTCCTCACGTATTAGTGTCTTTATCACCTTGCTTGGGGTGAAATGGTTAACAAAACTATTTTCCTTGAGCGACAAGAAAGTCGTTAACATACAATGAGAAAATTTCAACGAGAAATCAAATAAGGAAAGAAAAAATATTTTGAAAAGAGTGTCAAACTCCAAACAAGTAGCTGTTTTCATATATGGAGGGGAACACTTCATGTTGTTCAGGCGTTGTTCAAAATTGATCAGATAAAAATCTGGTCTAAAGAGAAGTTTTAATTAAAAAACGAAAAAACAAATGTATATTTGAAAGCATTATCTTAGCATGTTTAATTTTGACATGTCATCATCTGAATGTCTGACCATAATAAGTATCACATGACATAGCAGGTGTCTCTTAGCCAAATAGGTTTGGGAACAAAGGTAAAAAGATCATATTGCACCAATATTTCAAATGAAGAAATACTGTGTTGCCTTTGGAGAAAAAAACAATGTCAGGATTTGCAATCCCGGTTTTTATTTCAGTTTGGACGACACCTGAATGTACACGTGTAAAACAAGTTACAATCTTGGCCACTAGTGTGTAGCGATATTTATCAAAGCTTTAGCACATTACAAAGCTAAATAGTTTCATGAGAGGAATGGAAATGATTGGCTTGTGCTGTACCAATTCTCAAAGTGGGATGGAAGCCAGCCTGCCTAGAAAATCAACTTCCGAAATCTTGGCTTTTACCTGGGCTTGAACGACAAACATGTGCACTGGTTGGAGGTAGGCAACGACTTCAGTCACCGAGTAGTCTGCTCACGTGTACTTACATCGCTGTTGTGCTATTTTTGTTATTGTCTCTTTTGGTTGAAAGGTCAGCAAGTAAATTGCAAGTTCTCCTTGCAGATGGAAAGGGAATATTGGACACAGTGACGCGAGGGGAGTTTGTATTTTTTTTTTTTAGTGACTTTATATTTTCTCTCTATGTACATTTTTTCGTTCTTTGAATTTGCGTGTGTATGGATCGGCAGCGGCTACCAGGAAGAAGTAGAAAGCGTGCTAAATGATGTGAAAACGATTTAAATCCGCATCGTTTGAGTTATTGACTTGAGAGAAAGAAAACAAGACAAAGGAGTTTGCCTTGTAGCTGGATAGTGAGTGCAGAATTTTTCTTTTCTTTTCTTTTTTATTAGTCAAGCAGGTACTTCCTACTTGGAAAATAAGACAATTCTCCACCCTTCATCCTTTGCCTCCTTGTGTCAGTCCAAGTAAAGCTTACTAAAGAGCATAAAGCGGCTGAGATAGTTGTGGTACTGAGGTAAAAAAAGATTTTAGAATACAGATTTTTCGTAGCTTTGGCGTTATACAATCTTCTTAACGCCTATTTCCATCCAAATGTGATTGTTACTGTTAAACTAAGCTTAGTAAATATCACTGGAAGATAAATGAGGAAATAAAACTAAATGTTAAAAGCCCGCAAACATATTTATAAACGCAGAACGCGAGACTAAACGTGCGTGCGTGCCTCTGTGTGCGTGCGTGCGTGAATGAAATTATATATTCATGAAGAAAATATCACGTGAGGTTGACCACGGTTTCTTCATCTGTCTAGAAATTTTTCATTAAGTCTTTACAATATACTAAATATGGAGCGTTTTTCCATGTCAGTGACAGTAAAACTACTCTCCGTTAAATAACCCCAACCCACGCCACAAAATAAATAAAATAAAATAAATAAAAAATAAATATCGCTTAGCAGAAGGGATCTTTGAAACTGGGGGTATGCGTAGATAATATTTTAGGGTGACGCCTACATAATCTAATCCTAGTCTGGAGCACGTTTACTGATTTATACAGTATCTCTTCCTCTGGCCATTTTAAATGCCTTAGAGAATTTAGTTTGTTTTATTTTTAGGAACCAAAGAAGTAGATTAAGAAAGAAAAAAAAATGGTTGCCAGATTGAGGCTCTCCAAGTTAACAAAAAGACACAGAAAAAGTATGGCATTGACCAATGATGGAATTATATAAACAGAATTATCAAACAACAGACATTCCACAAGATAAATTGCATCTGAAGAATTCTGGTGAGAACTCTCGTTAAAACATTGGAAAGAAAAAAAGTAACGGAAAACAAGAATAAAAAAATATATATGTAGATTAAAAAAGCTTTTATAACTTTTTTTTTTTTTTTAGAGTTGTATATTTTTCATTTTATTTTGTTCTTTTTAATCGCAACTCTGTTTTTTTTTTTTTTACAGTTTAAAACTGTTAAGTAAAAGCAAGGATCGAAGAAAAAAAAGCTTCCGACGAGATTTGAACTCAAATCCCTTGAGTGTGTTCCTAGCAATGACTTACCGATCTGGTCACGTAGATTCATAAAAAAAATGAAATTCAAATATCTACAATCTTCATTAACCGATTCTGATTTCATATCATATAGCATGCGTCCACCCTATTAATAGTAGCAGATATAATAGTTTTAATTTATCCAAATTTCTTAGAGAAAGCATTTATTTCCGATTCATGGTTCTGACTTAATCGTCGTAGAATATAAAAAGACCTGAGGGTTGTAATTAGGCAACAAAATAAGACGAAAATAAATTGGTCTGAAAGTGAACAGTGATGGAAATAATTCATTTAAGACATTCAGACAATTTTTCTCGAATACTCAGATAAAAACTTTCAAAGAGTCTATTGAAAACTTTTCTCAACGTAATTGTTAAAAGTAATCTGTTTTATGGCAATACTTTTTCTTTTTGGTTTACAGAAGTTATTCAATGATGCAGTAATGTCTAAAACTTTCAAGCGAATATAGTTTCCTGTTGGGAATTGAGTAGATATACCCAATGGCAGAAATGACATTTGATTTTGCGTTTGCATTCAAATGTATTTCCATAAAACAACATAGTATTATGACAGTCATCTTGCCCGTTAGAATGGATCAATCATAAGTGTCATATAGTAGTTGGGTATAAGTAGAATTTTAAAAGATCAGATTTTAGGAAGAAAAGTAAGAAACAGACTTGGGATCACTTATATAGGAATACTAGTTTGATTTGGCTGAAGTCCTTTCATGGTGGAAAAGGCAGACAGTGACTCTTAATTTCAGTTATGAAAACTATCTACCATTTCATTATACTTGATGGAAAAGATGATGAGTAACTTTTAATTTTAGACATAGTATTATATCGACCAGTTACAAAATGCTTCCATTGTTATTAACATGTTAATCGAAAGAAAAACCTCACAAGATAATGAGCAACTGTTGCAAATTGTCACGTGTCATTATTTGATAAATTTACATTTACGTCTCAACAGTATATTGACTGATTCGTTTTCTACGGGTTATCAACTTTGTTTTCTTGGAGGTAATAATTTAGTGATACAAGTGTTACTAATTAACCCATAGCTGGGAGGGAAGAGGTGGATTCACACCTTTACCAAGGGTAATTGCGCATAAGTGACTATAATGAGCCCAACGGGATTTGGCGGTTCTCCAATTAACAATTCCGAGCCATTATCCATTATATCACCAGTACATGCAAGCTTAGAGCACCTGGTATTCGCAGGTGGTCACCCATCTAGGTACTGACCATGATTGACGTTGCTTAACTTCAGCAATCGAAACGGAAACCGGTTTTCGATGTGATATGACCGTAAGCCGTCTCACCAGAATAGGATTAGATTGTAAGATTTTTTTTTCTTGGGGATAATGATTTAGTTTTACAAGTCTTACTAATTAACCCATAGATGGGGGGAAGAGGTGGATTTATAAAGATTATTTGCGGATAAGTGACTATAATGAACCCAACTGGAAATGGAACTCGGCTCTCCGATTAGCAATTCCGAGCCATTACCCATTCCATCACCCGCACATCAAAGCCTACAGCACCTGGTATTCCCTAGCGGTCTCCCATCTAGGTACTGACCATGTTTGACGTTGCTTAACTGCGGTGATCATACGGAAACCGGTGTTTCAATGTGATGTGGCCATAAGTCATCTCACCAGTATAGGATGTAATTTCGCGTATATATTTCTATACAAGTCGAGTAGTTAGAACTAAACTTTTCGACATAGTAATTGAGGTCAGGTTCATCTCTGTAAATGAGTAATAGTTTTGTTAAGTTGGAATTCGGAAGCCACAGAAGTAACTCTCAGCTTCAAAGATAAAAAAAAAATTATTCACTCTTTACTCCCAGTAAATGATGGTGACTTAAAATACATGCCAATTAGTCATGAAACGATGAGCAGTAGCTTCACACGCTGAAGCAACCAAGTTTCATTTTGCTGACTTACCATACATTCGTTGTGTAAGTTTCTAACATCTCCTCCATGGAACGACAGAAAATGAAACTATTTGATATTTTTACTCAATTTACACCAATATACACAATTTCCTCAGACGGACGAATGGACCTAGAATACACAGACCGTATTCCTTGAAGGAGAATAAGAGACACCACCCGCAAAGAACTCACCCCTACTAAGTAAATTATAGAACATAATATTCATGCATAAACAAACTTTATCCCTGAATCAAATAAATGATTATAGACTCAAATCTAAATGTGTTATGGTTATCTATTCCACAACCAAAGTATAGGTTCAAATAGAAGCGAGCTATGTTTACTTGTACCTGAACCAAGTAAATAATTCTTGATTTAAATATGAACGACCAATATTTACCTATCTTTGAACCAAATGAATGCTTATTTTCAGAAATATAAACGACCAGAATTAACTAAGAAAATGCTTAGTAACTAAAGATTACCAATATTTATCTCTCACCAGACCAAGTAAATGCTTATAGCCTGAAACATGACTGATTTCGACATTAAGCAAACAGGGGTTAACATGTCATAAAATCAACCAACTCAACCCAACACATGATAGCGAGTGTTAGAATTCTTACCAAACCACACCTGCTTTATTTCACCAATTCCAGAGCAGACAAATGGATGGTATTTTGTTAACCGAATTCCTTCTATTTAACTGAAAACTACACCGAGGAGCCGTATAGACTAACAAGAACAAAACTTGATAATATCAAGTTTTTGATAAAATTATAATGTCACAAAATAGAAATGGCCAGGCGTTTTTCCTATCATAGGTTACCAGTAAATAAAAAAATAAAAACAAAAAAAAAAAAAAAAAACCACCAATAAACAAAAACAAAAAAACCAACAAAAAACAAAAAACGTAAATTTTATTAAGATGTCAAGCGAATTACACAAATGTAATATCAGTTCTTCTACATGGCAGTGAATATTGGACAATATCCGCATAGAGACAACAGATATATGGTTACACAGAAGGATACTGAGAATACCATGGAGTGAATATGTGAGATGTTTTTAAGGGAAATAGAGACAAAAAACGAAGCTTATATTTTTACATTCCAAACTACTTAAAAAAAAAAGGTTTGGAAAGAAATACTCATCAATACTATGAAAAAGCGATAATCATGATTGGACTTGAGAAAGGTATTTTCCTGAAAAATTGTTTTACAATAAAACATTTACAAATTTTGACGTTCCACACTACTTCAAAGAAAAGTTTAGGAAGGATAACCTTATCAATTCTAAAAAGAGCGATAACAGTTACTGGACTTTTTATGGAACATTGTTTTAATAGAAATATTTTATAAATTTCAACCAACAGTAGCACTGGCTGCTCGGTCAGTGAATGCCGAATGTTTCCTTATTTATTTTTGTTACAGTAAGGTTCACCCTGTATAAGGCTCGGCGGCCACTCACGGTAGAGGATTACGAGAAGGGGTAGTTTTTTCGAATAGGAGGGGGAAGATAACGGTTAACCCTAGACTTAAACAGGTTTTGACACAATATATGTGGCATAGCGGATCCTAGCCGTGAAAGTGAAACCTAACGGAACCAAGGAATGTAGTTAATCCGAGCCCTTTCCATGGAAGTAGCGACAGAGAAGCGAGATGACTGGCACATATCGCCAGTGAGAGAACGGTCGGTGGGTGGAAAAATAATTCGTCATCTAAAAGAACTCAGAGATGCTTTTGAACTTTATCGAGGCGGGAAAGTGAGGACTGGGCAGCGCCCGCCCAAATATGACAACAGTATTTCATTTTCGGCCTGATCTGGCTCTTGTAAGGAACCAACTAATCCTCGGACCTAAGCTATTTCTGATTTTCATCAACGACCTTACCAATGTAGATAACAAATATTTACTCCTGTCTTAGTAGACAGTCAAACAGATTAAACAAATTAAAACTGGCACTGTTCTCAAAAAGGACTCCCAATCAATGGTGTACTGGGACAAGGAATGGCTTGTAAATTTTAACGCTTCAGAAACAAAATTGGTTTAATTTAATCACTAGAGAGAACCTTTTATTGCCTGCCATCAGCAAGGTTGATGCTCAAACACCAGGAGAGCAATATACTTTACGCCTTCTTGGTCTCATGTGTTCCACTGATATGAAGTGGAGTGATTATAGTGAATCAATTGCTAGGTCTACTGCTGGAAAAGTTGGTTCACTGTATCATGTAAGGCAATTATTTTCATCAGAATCCATCTTGCACATTTATAAATCTACTATTCGATCGTGCATTGAATATTGCTACAATATCTGGTCTGTTTCTACTATTATATATCTCGAGATTCTTAAGGTGGTTGGAATGTCGAACTGAACCCTTTATTTCACTCACTGGGGTATACTTTTCTAGTTCCACGTGCCATGTTTAATGGATGTCAGTTATCAGTTATCTCCTGTTAATTTCCCTCTGAAAATTCTCCACTACCTTAGCCTCAAGGACACATGGCACAGTGGATAAAGGCGTTAGTTAAACCAAAAGAGTGTGAGTTCATTACCCGGCTAAGTCCGAATAATGTAAATAATGTTACAGACAATTGTTAATATATTAAGAATATTCCATTTTTTCTAGGTTCCACATTACCGTGACCTTGTGCCAGATAATGCTAAAACATAATTATGTTAAGATTTAGAAATATCCAAAAAAAGATAATAAAGTGCACCTGCTGTAGAAAAAACAGCAAGCTAATGTTTGTCAAAGTTACTGAGATGAGGAATTATCATGAATATATTCTTTGCTATTCGGACCAGAACGCTCGTCTTAGTTGAATGCTTGTCAGACCAGAACGCTCATCTTAATTGAATGTTTGTCCGACCAGAACGCGCGTCTTCGTTGAAGGATCGTCTCTCCATTCCTCAGTCTCACTACATCCCCATTGCTATAAGTCTTTTCTTCATCTGTGAGGAATTGTTTAGCATTTACTGTCATATACAAGATTGGATAGCAGATAACAATCCAGCGATTTTCTGTTTCTAGGGACAAATGCCGATTCTTTTATACTTTTGCTTAGCTTCTGAAAGGGATCTTTTGCTATTGTTCTATGCTTTCAGATTTCCCGGTCACACTTTCTATTGTTACTATAGAACTCATCACCATAAGAGAAGACCTAAATCCTCATCAATAATGTAAAAGGCGATAACAACTATTTGAGAAACCTGTTTTCTTGAAAAATTGTTTTAAGAGAAAAATGTTTTTTTTATAAATTTCAGCAGTACTGGTTGTTCGGTCAATAAATGCCAAATGCTTCCTTGTAGGGAAACGGCTAATATTACCATTATTGTGGCCCTTGTGTTGTCAAAGACTGGTTAGAAATCTTCTCTCACAGGTCACTGCTAATGAATTCAATTTACTTAGGAGCCTATTGTCATCATCATGTCCTTGTAGATCTGATCATAAAAAAATAAATCGCACTATAGTAGAGCGTATACGGTAATACAATTGTTCTTGTATATTTTTCTTCTGTTGTGTTTGCAAGTTTTTTTTAGATACTAGAATTATCTCCCTTGCAGTGTCTTCATTATAACAATGGCGGAGTTTTCGAAAGTGTTTATAAAGCCATAAGGTGAAAAAATGGATTGTGAAAGAACGGAGTATAACAAGAATATATTCAAGATGGCTAGATGTAGCCGTAAATTTTATGCTAACAATTTTTCTCGCACTTCTCGCTTGAGGAACTCCCTTCCGACTATGTTTTCAGTCAACTTTAATCTCCAAAGATTTAAATGCAATGTCAATCGCTATCTAATGGCCTGATTATTTTACTTCCTCTTCCAGCTCATTAGTAATGTTTGTGTTCCTAATTCGCCCACACCTAGTAACCTTTTGTGCCTTAGTGGTTCTGCCGCCTTGGTTAGAAGAGAACAGGTTAAAATCATTTTGTGTCAGCTCCGCTATGTCTTCCCAAATGAGCAATGAGGAAAAAAAGATGATTTAGGCCTTCAGTAATGGTACCAACATTCATACTCTGGCTTCCCTCTTCAAAATTCATTCACGAACCATCAAGGTAACGGTGAATAAGTTTAAAAAAAAAAGAGAGAATAATAGAGAGAAAAATTAGACCAGTAGGTTACAATAGCAAGGGGGCTCATCATTTCATCTTAGAGCTAAATAAATTCTTATTGTTCAAAGTAGATTCCAATAGTGTTATAAAAAACCTCGGAAAATTCCAGTAAGATATCTTTGATCATTTCTAAGGCACAACAGTTTAAAACTAAAATCTAACAATTGGACAATCTTGATGTTACACCCGGTATATAAAAACTCACATGTGTAAGCTTAATAATAGTAAGGACTTAAAATATCCCACCTTTTTTTTTTGACGGCATGAGTAAATTGGTAGGTATTTTAAATGTCATTAGAATTTAAAATGTTAATACTTCAACATCAAAAATGAAATTTATTCGACTCTTTTATTCGACTATTTGGGGTCTACGGTGCTGAAATCGGTAAAGAACATCTTTTAAATCTCATTTAAACAATTGTTCTTTTTTCCCCATTCTCGCTTTTCTAGTTTATTCAATGAAATTATTGTTTGCAAACTACTGAATTGAATTTGTATAAATAAAGCAATAATTAACGATTTGACATTTCAAATGATAGTAGCTAAGAACAACTTCTTGATTTTATGTAATTAATTATTTAACAACCAATA